CCAACACTCTTCCTTTTACACTCATGTTCTTTCTACTATAAAGACAAAGTGAAGTTTGTATTGTTTTATTGGAATATTTAGAACCTGCCTGGACCTGCTAATGCTAGGAATCAGTGAGATTGGGAAAGAATACCCAAGTGATGGTGGTAGTTTTTTTTTAAAATTCATCAAGATCTCCAAATGTTGATGTCCGACATCTATGGACAGCTGTGTCATGAGGTTGGGACAGCAGAGCTACAAACCAGAGTGAAGCCGGATCTCATTGAGCAAACACCTCTATGAGTTCCCCAGCTTTGCTGAATCTGAGTCTTGTGTGTTCCTAGTGTTATATGTTCTTACTTTATCCTTGTGAATAGTTCTCAATATGTTGACCCCTGGCCTAGATTACTGACCTGGAAGACGTTCACCCATTTCACAGCTGGGAGGTAACAAGGTCCTGGGGACCTGGAATCAAGAGAAACAATCTGAATCCCACTTCTAATACTAGCTATGTAACCATGGACAAATTACTTAATTCCTCTGAGCCTCAGTTTCCTCATCTGTAAAATCAGGATAATACACAGATATTTTTAAAGGAGGAATAGGAGCCCAGGCCTTAATAGATGGTGGGGCTCTATAATAGGAAGCAGTTGCAATAGCATTCAATTAGAATTGGAATGGGCATAACCTGGAAGGAATCTCTGAGGTGATCTAGTCCAACTTGTACTGAACAAAAATCCTTCTCTAATATCCCTGAGTGGTAATGTAGCCTTTCTGTGAGGAGAACCAGTGAAGGGGGCCTGATTATATCCCGAGGCAGATCATTCCACTTTAGGGTGGCTGTAATAGTAATCAGAGGAAGGATGTTTTTCCTCCCCTGGATCTTCTCTGTATAATATCAGATCCTGGGTTTGCCCTTGATAGGGTGTATACCTAGCGGTAAAGAAGGCTCACTCAAGGGCTTACTGCCTATGGTGTTCATGTTGCTCTGTGTTCCTAGGACCACAATGACACAGATGATCTCCATGATTTCTTCTACCTTTTATTGATAATAATAATGGCTCAATGGATCAGTGAACTTATCAAAACGGGTACTGCAATCAATGATACAATTCACAACCCATCCATGCCTGTCCATCCCGTATGACTTTTGTCCATGTCCTCCTATCAGTCTGCCATTAGGGCTTTACCTGATGTATTGAGTGTCTTCTTTAGATCTCTTGGCATTGTGTGGCTATCAATGGAGCATGAGGGCTCTCCATTGGCTATAGCCTGATCTTGCCATGAGATAGACTAGTTTAACTTCTTTTCTGGTCACATAACGTTCCAATGGCCTCCTTTACTTTTCTTATCTTGAATAAAATTATTGGTTGTGTAATGTGCTGCAGCCATTGTTCTCAGCTTCTATTCTTCAGATACTGGTATTCCGTGATTTGCAGTCTTATGACATTGCTGAAAGAACATTAATGTTAAAAAGATGAGCTTTTGTTTCAGGAAGGAACCGGGAGTCATGCAAAGAACTGCACAATTTCCCAAGGGACGTCCAGCCTACTCTCCTTGAATTCAATTCTGGACACAACTCATTGTCCATTCACAGTGTGTGTCCAAGATATGAATACTGATGGACCAAATTCTGTGTGTAGTTTGTCCAGCTGCAGATCATGAATGGATGAACTAAAAAAAAAATTATTAAGTACTATGTGCCAAGCATTGTGCTAAGTTCTGGAGGCACAAATAGAAAATACAGTCCCTACTCTTGAGGAGCTCATGTTCTAATTGAGGGAGACAACACATAAGGGGATAGTGTAGATGGTAAGGGCTAGTGGTCCTCATTAGTGCAGCGGCAGCTTGGTTGGTAAGGTTCTGGGGGCATCTGTCTTTTCAGAACGATTATAGTTGGCGGGCACGTACTCCCTGAAGTTGGAAGGCTTGGGCCAATACCTCATAGGAAGAAGGCAGAGAGCCTGAGGATCAAAATGGAGGGTGAGCTCCATGCTCCATGCCTCAGAGGTAGGGATAAGAGGTAGCATTGCTGGGATGCCAAAAGGGAAAAAAAGCATTGGAGGAGAGGGCCTCTACTTGGTTTTGTTGCTTTTCGGTTAGTGAGTTCAAGGATCTCAAAAAACTCTGCAGTGCTCTAGGACCTGATTCAGTCATCGCAATGTCATTGACAAATAGAATAGCTTGGATGATCTCTCTGTCCATAAGGAAACCCCTTTCTGACTCATACTCAGTGCTGCACATCCTCCATGACGTGGACAACACCTTTGGTGACCATGTCTTCTTGTTTCATGCTGGTTTCAATAATAACAATGCCAGACATTTATAACATTATATTATATCACAAAATTAATAACAGAGTACTTTACATCTAGGGTGCCTATCCAATGTCTTTTGCATCCATTCCCTTTCTCTACGCACAGAAGCATCACCCTAGTTCAGTCCCTTATCGCATCTCACCTGGACTATTGCAGTGTCCTTGCCTCAAGTTTCTCTCACTCTAATCCTTCCTCAGTGTAGCTGCCAAAATAATTTTTCTAAAGTGTCTGACCATGTTACTCTCCTCCTCAATAAACTCCCATGTTTCCCTTTTACCTTTAGGATCAAACATAAATGGCTGTTTGACATTTAAACCCTTCGCCACTTGGCCTCAATCCATCTCTCCTACCTTGCGGCCCATTCCTTCATTTCATTGGCTGTGCACTACAATCCAGCCAAATTATCCTTGTTTCTCATCAATACTCTGTGGATTTGAGCGGGTTGTCCCCCGTGCCTGGAATTCACTCCCTTCTTACCTCTGTCTCTTAAAATCTCGTTTCCTTTGAGGCTCAGCCCAAACAGCACTTTTTGTGGTTCAGGAGTATCTGACTCTTTGTGACTCCGCGGGCATGCACCAATGCTGCCCGTGGAGTTTTCTTGGCAAAGATATAGGGGTGGTTTGCCACTTCCTTCTTTAGCTCATTTTACAAATGAGGAAACTGAGGCAAGCAGGGGTAAGTGACTTGCCAGGGTCACACAGCTAGGAAGTATCTGAAGCTGGATTTGAACTCAGGTTTTCCTGACTCCAGGCCCAGCCTTCTCTGGGCTATGGCACCACTTAGTGGCCTCTAGTCTTTCCAGTCTCTAAATTTTCTTCAATTTTGTTATTTTTCTGTATAGCTTTATGTATGTTCATATTTATCTTTCCCTAGCTAGATTATTAACTCCTCACATGCAGGGACTGTGTCACTTTCGCGTTTGCATTTCAGGTACTGAGGGCAGCAGGCATGGCACATAGTAGGTAGTACCTTAAATGCTTCTTGCTTGATTGGCTGAGCGTGCTAATCCACGTTCAATGACAAATTTGGCTCCTTCAGAAAGTACTCTACTAGTTGATCTTTGGTTTTTAATTCTTGTGTAGTAACTCTGTGTGTGTGTGTTTGTGTATAATTTATTTTATTTAAAGGAGTATTGTATAAACTCAAATATGAGTATGGAGGTACTATTGCTTTTAAGTGGTCAGTAAAAAAAGGTGCCTTATTTTTCACAGTTACTTATGCCATTGTACTTGTATTACTAGGCAGCCATTGTGGGTTATTTTTGTCAGGGGGTGGGGTGCAGAATGCATTAAATTTGCTGTGCATCACCCATCTACTCTGCCTGGCTGAGGCTATTGCTTCTGCTACTTGCTTCATTCCAAACATGGCCTTGCTGACCCTTGTGCTTTGGTTGACCCCTCACCATCCTGCTCCACACAGGTTGATATGATGTCGGGGGAAAGCCAAGAGAGTCTATTGTGCCACATCATGCCAATTAATTGATCAACCAATTAAGCACAGCCCTTATGTTCATGGCATCAAGCCAAATGCCACCCCACTGCCACTGGCCATTATTGTTTCTTCTACCTTGCTACCAGGTGAAATTCTAAATGTCCGGTAGGAGAGTCCAGTCCTGTAAGTCTCTTCATCTTCAAAATGTCATTGGGTAAAAATATGGAAATAGGCCCTTTTGTAAAAAGACTTGATCTTGTACATTTCTTCCCACTGTTCATGCATAACCCAGATGAACTAAGAGTTCTACTTTCCCTATTTCCATATAAAACGACATACACCGTACTGTACATGTAAAAACAAATTTGGAAAGGAGTCTCAAGCTGGCCTCTAAAATTGTGTAAGCAATTATCACATTTTTGTGCGCAAATGCAGTAATTATATGTGTAATTTGGCAGCTGGGTTTGAAAATTTGGCCTTAAATGGAACATAGACAGGAAAAATAAATGTTGGAAAATGCCAATATTTTATAAAGATTTTGAATCAAATAATGGTGGAATTATTGTAAGCCACCTTAATTTTTAATTATAACGAGTATTATATAGCATTTATTTTTCAGGGGGAAGGGGAATGTTTGAAATGTTTTTTCCATTTTTTAAACAAAAATTCTCCTTTTTTTGAGGGAAAGATTTGTTTTTCTAAATTTAAAATATATTCTTGGAGTTTTACCTCTTCCCCTAACAAAGTACAATGATTGTCTACTAGTTCACAGTCATTGGTATATATAACAGCGAAAAAAGTGTGTCTTTTTTTTTTGGACTGATCGTTTTAAAGCAAAAGTACTGGTACCTCCATACCTACATCTGAATTCATTCAATTCAATTGAACTTAATGGACATTTATTAAGCACCTACTAAATTCAAAGCATCCTCTTTCTGGTACTGGGAGTTTAAATGTAAAAAAATTCCCCCAAGGAGCTTTCATTATATTTGAGTGGTGGGATATAACAAGTACACTGATGACAAGGTATGTAAATACAAAGGAAGGTGAAAAGATTATTTACCACTGGGGAATCAAAGAAGGCTTCCTGTCATCTGTAACTTACGGGTGAGGTGAGCCTTGAAGGAAGATAAGAATGCAACAGAGATGAGGAACATTCTAGGCATACAAAGGAGATTTTCATGCACAGTTAACGACCCAGTTTGACCAGGACATACGATACCCAAGGGAGAGTAAAAAGGGTAGAACTCATATTATGAGGGGCCTTTAAGCATAAGAGCAGAGGAGTGAAGTAGTGAAACCTGTCACAGAACAGAAGATGGCTCGACAGCTGTGTTGATGGGAGATGAGGTATGAAACAGGGAGACTAAGTAGAAGGGTGTGGTTACAATAATGGATTCTAAAGCTGTTGGGTGGGAGGCAGGGAGGAGAAGAGATGTGTCTATAAGCTTTCATTGAACGTTAGGCTGAGTAAACAGGCACACCCTGGGAAAGTATTCTCCATTGACTCTTTTCTTACCTCTCCCATACTCTACATAAACCTGCGAATGTGTGAATGTGAAGGGTTTCAAACCTGGGTGATTGCCCTCGATGGACTGGACGCAGAGGAGTTTGGAAGTTGGCTGAGTATAGGGGAAAAGATAATGAGTTTTGTTTGGGACACATTGACTTTGAAGCACCAATAAGATGGTCAGGTGGAGATGACCAGTCATTTGGTAACATAAGACTAGAGCATAAGAAAGAGATCAGGACTCAATATGCATATATGAGAGTCATCTGTTTATATTTGGAGTTCAGAATGCCTAAATTCCACATACTCTCTATGTGATGTTTGCAAGTCTTCAAACCTCTCTGGGCCTCAATTTCTCATCTATAAGAAGAGAGGTTTGAACTAGATGACCTCTAGAGACCCTTCCATCATGAAATCTATGATTCTATAAACCAAAGGGAGAGAGTATTTATAGAGAAGAGTAAGGGTCTAGGGGAGGACCTTCTAGTTGATAGAAAAATAGAACTTAGTTAAAATTTTCCCATGCAAATTTTAGCAAAGGTTTTTTTTTTCCAAATCAAATTAGAAATAAGTTAAATCCATCCTGACAATGATAATTTCAAATTGTCGAAAAAAATACATTGGCATGTCAAACATGCCCTCTGGCCTGGTTCCAATGCCTATGTACTCCAAGTGTCTGTTTGGGTTGGTATCTGATCTGTGATTTCATGAGGCTTTGCTTTAGTTATCTCTTCACTTATATTGTAGTACAGTACTCTTGTAGTATGTGACAGAATTTTTAAAAAAATTATTTTATTCTGAATTTAATAGGAGAGAAAGAGAGAGGGAGAGAAAAGGAGAGAGAAGGGGAGGAGAGAGAAAACATTTCTTATATGAAGTAGGACAGAAAAAGATTATATGTGCAATTCTAATTTTTATTATATAAAGCTTTCTTTTCTTAAAAATATATAATAAATATAACATGGTATTTTTAAAGCTGTTCTGAGTGTCTCTGTTTCCTAATAAACTTCTTTATGTTTTCTTCTGTGCATTTTAGAAATGCTTCATTTAAAAATTTTTGTTTTGTTTCGTTTCTTCTTTTTTTGGGAGGGGAAATATTATCACTAACTTCCCTTTTTTTCTAAATCTCCCTTACCCTAAAAAACAAAACAAAACAAAACAGAATCCTTGCAAGAAATAAGCAGTCAAGAAAAATGAAATTGAAAAGTCAACAAGCATTTATTAAGTGATTACAATGTGCCAGACATTGTGTTAAGCACCAGAGATACAAATAGAAGCAAAAAGACAGCTCCTGTCCTCAAGAAACTTACATTTTAATAGGGGAAGACAACAAATAAAAGGGATCAGAAAAGGAGAGGGTGAATCTGAGAAGGTACCCCTGAGGAAGCATGGTGGCAAAGTACAGAGTCAGAATCAGAACTGGGAAAGGAACTAAAGATGGTTGCCTTGGGCAGCTTCAAAATGAGAGTGCTCAGAGGAACTCTCCATTGGGAAAAGGGGCTGCAGGGGCAGAGAAATGTTCTGGGATGAGAAGGTAACAGGGGAGGAGGGAACTTTCAGGGTAAGAAGGTAGCTGAAACATGTTGACAAAGTGTTGCAAATCCTGTTGGGTATGATCACTACTCATATTCTGGCTTTGGCATTCACAGAAGAGTTTACAAAGGGGTATTCTTTTGCTCACCCAGGTAGAAAAGATATTCTAAGTGGGCAGGGATGGTAGCTGCTACTGAATTTGGCCAGGGAATCAAGTAAAGTAGAATAGATTGTACTGATAGGGACAGGGCAGTTGTCAGATTCATGTCCAAAAATACGTCTCGTTTTACATCTCAAGTCCATCATTCCTCTGTCAGGAGGTTGGTAACTTCATCCTTGGTCCTCTGGGTCATGGGTGAGTAATGTGTTTAGCTTAGAGTTCTTAATTCTTTCAAGAGTTGTTCATTTTGACAATGTTGCTATTGTACAAATTGTTCTCTTGGCTCTGCTCACTTCATTCATGCAAGTCTTCCCAGGTTTCTCTGAGACTGCCCCTTTTGTTATTTCTTTTGGTACAGTAGTGTTCCATCACAACCATATACCACAATTTGTTCAACCATTCCCTAAACTCTAGGCAATTCCCTAGTTTCCAGTTCTTTGCTGCCATAGAAAGAGCCTCTCTAAATATATTCATAAATAGTTTCTCTTTATTTAATTTCTTTCAGGTAGCCTGCATAAAATTGAAAAGTTTTTGCATCAATAAAACCAATACAGTGAAGACTAGAAGGGAAATAGTTAACCAAGGGGAAAAAAATTTATAGCAAGTTTTTCTGATACAAGTCTTGTTTCTAAGGTATATAAGGAAGTGTTTCAAATTTATAAGAATGTGAGTCATTTTCTAATTGATAACTGATCCTCCATTTTTTTTTTTGTTAGGCCCTTCTGTCTTTTGCCCCTAATAATATGGCGGTACACAGATAACTGCTTTCTATTTTTGATCAGTAAGCAGACTGAACTATATTATAAGGCAATTGAAATCTGGGTGTGTTTGCATTTGCATTATGATCCTTTAAACACCACTTGACTCCATTTTCAGAATTAAAAGAAAAAGCTGAGATTTGTTCTAAAAGGAACAGATTTTCCTACTGTGGAGGTTAGGGGGCAACCACTATCCAGGCCATTCCCACAATGATCTAGGCTTATTTTTTAGAAGTCCTTCAATGAAAGTCAGGCTGGACCTTCCCATCCCCTACTGTAGATTGCTTAAGATGCAGTCCTGCCAGTTTTCATTATTATTGATGCTAAACACTCTAAGAATATTTCTGGCTCTCACAAAAGGTCTTGAAATATTTCAATGATTTATGAAGCAAATAGGCTTCCTAGAGGTCTGTGAAATAGCGGCTGATGGATTCGATGAAAGAAGTGGTAAGCATTCATTATGGGACCTAGAACACAGCTACCTAGCTGGTTTCTGTTCTATTAACAAGTTGTGAAAAAGTAATGATGGGGCTCTTAGCTGTAAAACATCTTGGAGTGTAATCTGTTCTTAGAAGATTAATTCTATCTGAAAGAGTGAAGTAAATGATAAACAGCTTCAAGCAGACAGGGAAATAGATCATGCTACAGCTGAGGACAATAATATTGTTCTACCCTCAAGGAAATTGAACAGAAGAACACAAATTTGATAAGAGAAATGGGTCAAAGTCGGTCTTACTTCAGAGCTCAGGAGAGCTTTTTTGTTTACCAAGGGACACTAGCTATAACCCCCCTGCCAAAGGGAGGAGAGGAGGGATAGCTTTTCTAATTTGAAAACAAAAGGCATTTAGAAAAATTATTTTAATTACTTTCTTCAGTCAGTAAAATTATTTGAAATTTCTAAAAAGCAGGGAAAAACCTCTCTGGAAATCTTTCCCTTTAGAAAAAAAAAACAACCTAGAGCCTTTGACCCTCAGTGGGCTCCAACCCAAGGCTATCCTGGAGGCTGATAGAGAGAGAGAGGCAGGTGAATCCAGTTGGCAGAAGTTCCACTTGGAAAAAAGAGAAAGGATTCTAATTGCAAGGGGGAAATAATTTGTTGGGTATTCTGGTGGGGGGGAGGGAGAGGAATACAGTTGCAGTCAAAGATTTTACTGATCATATTTAAAGTCTCTTCTCACTAGAACATCATCATCTCCGTGACCAAGGACTCAGTGCTCATTTGTGTGTAGGGCTCTAGCAAAGCAACTTTACTGGACCTTGTTTTCTAGCTAGCGCTTGGAACTGTGGGAGTAATTAATAAACACCACCACCACTACCACCACTACCACCACCACCACAACAAAATGAATAACTAGCTCCTGCTTTCTAGGACTTTGTAACTCAAGAAAGACAGTGGTGATCACAGCTTAAGACAGAAAAGACCCATCAAAAGTTTTTTTTTAGACAAAGATCTGAAAGAGACTTTACAGGCCATCTAATTCAAACCTACTCATTTTAGAGAAGAGGAAACTATGGCTTATATTGGTTATGTGACTTGCCAAATGTCACATGGATGATAAATATTGGAACTAAAGTTAGAATTTCAGGTCTTCTGGCTCCAAATCCAGGGTTCTTTCCACCACACCAAGTTTATGACTTCACATTCACAGAGGAAACCACATTCCAAAATGTAGAAATGGCAAATTGAAGTGTTTATAGGGGCTGTAGGAGTAGAACTTGAAAGCACTATAGAGGCCCTCAAATGTAACTTCCCTCATTTGACAGATGAGCACACTGAAGCCCAGAAAAGTGAAGTAGCCTTTGGCCATAGGGGAAGTTAATGGTAGAGCTGGGATGTAAACCAAGGTCCTGTAAACCAAGACTATAAATCCGACGTTCTCTCAATTACACCAAGTTTGGGATTTCATGCTCGGTTGGGAGAATTATGGAATAACTGAGGCAGACAAATGAGAATATGGAACATTGAGAGATTACCTAGTCTATTGATAAATTAGAGAATGTCCAGAGGAGGGTGATTAGTTTGGTGAGAGGTCTGGAGACCCTACCACAGGAGATTCAGTTAAAGGGACTGGAGATATTTAACTCGGGGGGGAAAAGATTTTATGGGAGAAATACGATAATTGCCTTCAAGTATCTGAAGAAGTAGGGAGTAAACTGATTGCTCCAAAAAGGCCGAACAGATAGTATAAATCATTGCAGAAGAGTTTAGATAAATTAATGGCTTCATTCTTACTCCAGTAGTCTGAGGTCCTGTATGGTATACCATCACTTCCTCAACTGGCACACATCACAAATTCTCAGCGACCTAGCCTTTAAAATTGTTGTAGTTACAAAATTTATCAACCTGAGGTCTATGCTAAAGGGCCATTCCAAACTTAGCAAACTTGTCTTTGGGTAGCACACAATCCACCAAGCCTTTCCAGTTTTGTGAAAATTACCAGAGATTGAACTCTGTTGGCGTAATTGGGCATTGGAGGAAGACTTGAGTGAAGGCTAACAAATACGTCTAGAAAGGGTAGCTAGGTGATACAGTGGATAGAGCACTGAGTCAGGAGGACCTGAGCTCAAATCCAGCCTCAGACCTCCCTTACCCATTAAGAAGGCAAGCAATTTGACACCCATTATACACGTGAAATCATGCAAAACATACATCCATATTAGCTACATTGCAAAAAAAAAAAGCAAGAAAAATAAAGTGAAAAAAACCCATGCTTCAATCTACACTCAGAGTTCATCAGTTCTCTCTTTTGAGGTGGATAGCATTTTTCATCATGAGTCCTTTGGAATTGTCGTGGATCATTGTATTGATTTCATACTTGCTTATTGCTACAATATTGCTATTACTGTTAACAATGTTCTTTTGGTTCTGCTCACTTCATTTTGCCTCAGTTCATATAAGTCTTTCCAAGTTTTTCTGAAACCATCCTCTTCATCAATTCTCACAACACAATAGTATTTTATCATAATCATATACCACAGCTTGTTCAGCCATTCCCCAATTGATGCACATCCCTCAATTTACAATTCTTTGCCACCACAAAAAGAGCTGTTATTTTTTTTTTCTTTAACCTCTTTGTTATACAGACCCAGCAGCAATATTGCTGGGTCAAAGCGTATGCATAGCTTTATAATCCTTTGTGTATGGTTCCAAATTGTTCTCCAGAATGATTGAACCAGTTCACAACTCCACCAATAGAGCATTAGTGTACCTATTTTTCCATACCACCTCTAGCATTTTTCATATCTGATAGGTGTGAGGTGGTACCTCAGAGTTGTTTTAATATATATTTCTCTAATTATTAATGATTTAGAGCATTTTTCGTATGACTATTGAAGCTTTGATTTTTTTCTTCTGAAAACCATCTGTTCATATCCTTCGACCATTTATTAATTGGGGAATGGCTCTGATTTTGAATTTAGCTCAGTTCCTTACATATTTGAGAAATGAGATATTTATCAGAGAAACTTGCTATAAAATCCCCTTGCCCCCAATTTTCTGCTTTGTTTCTGATTTTGGATGCATTAGTTTTGTTTATATAAAACATTTTTAATTTAATGTGATCAAAATTATCTATTTTACCTCCCATGATCCTCTCTTTCTTGTTCAGTCATAAACTCTTCCCATTTCCATAGATCTGACAGATAATTTTTCCATGACCTTCTAATTTGCCTATGCTATCACCCTTTATGTCTAAATCATGTTCCTATTTTGACCTTTTCTTGCTATATGGTAAGAGATCTTGGTCTATGCTTAGTTTCTGCCAGACTGCTTTCCAGTTTTCCCAGCAGTTTTTGTCAAATAGTTCTTGCCCCTAAAGCTTGAATCTTTAGATTTATCAAACACTAGATGACTCTGGCCATTTACTTCTGTGTGTTGTATACCTAACAGGAGCTCACATTCTAATGAAGAAGACAACACATGGTAGAGGAGGTTCCACCTGCAAGTCAGGTGAAGAAGTCCCTTGGTCTATAAGGTACAGTGGCAAAGCAGAGAGTAATGCATCTTTAATTACATTTCCATCGAAACCATGTCTGTTTCTAATATTTATTCATTTGTCAGTGGATTTTGGTGGTGGAAGCTTTCGTTTTCTGAGTCTTCAATATCTGTGACTACAGTGGGGAGAGTGGCATATAGATAAATCATCCATGGGATTACATGGATAGGGTAATGTTACACTGGCCAGGTGATAATCAATGGAATTGCTAGAGCCCAGTTGGCCAGGGTCTCAGGATTCCTGCCAGGGCTTCACAGCCACTGTAGTGGCCTCATGGAACATAGAATCTCACCTTGGCTGCCATTCTCTTACTTTGCCATTGGCCCACACTCACAACATGTACAACGGGTTGGGCTTTGCTGCTATTACTGTTATTTCAATGGCTGTTATTTCTTCACCGTTTGGGGATATCTTCCACCAGCACTGACTGAAACCCACCTCTATATTCTTACCTGGTGTGATTCTTGTGCACATCTTTCCATGCAATTTCCACTGAGCAACTAATCTCTAAGATTCTTTTAATATTTTGTGGGTACCAAATTAATCAACTCATCAGTTAATCAACAAGCAGTTATTAAGGGGAAAGACGAAAGGAAGGAAATAAGCATTTATTGTCTGCTGTGTGCCAGGCATTGTGCTAAGCGCTCTACAAAATAACCCATTTGGACACTAATGAATAAGTACCTATTATGTGTCAGGGACTATGCTTGGTACTGAGAACATGAAGACAAAAATGTTCCTGCCCTCAAGAGCTTACATTTTATCAGAGCAAATGGCATTCAGGTGTGTACATACATGTAAAATATCTACAAGATAAATTATCGGTTAAAGAGATAAATAAGTTATCTTTCATGCTTACTATGTGATCAGCCCATCTTCTTTTCCAATCAGACATGCCCTTGATGGTGCCTTTAGTACCACATTTTGCACATTAGTTGCCACTAGTGAAGCCCACTTACACCCACCATATGTTTTTTTCATTGCCATTTTGATGCTTCTGAGATCATATTGTTTCACTATTTATAGCCACAGAGCATCATTGGGAGAATATTGGGGTTAATAAGGTGGGCTTTTGTGGCAGTGATCAAGTCAGGGTCATGAAAAGCATTGTGTCTTTCGGCTGGGAAATTTCACAAATGCAATTTAGTACAATTTTCTACAGATAACTTCCGGGCCCAGGACATTTTCCATTTGCAGTGTCTGTCCAAGATAGACTAGCTTAATGGGCTGTCCGTCCAACTATATATTATTAATTTGGGTAACATAATTTCATCCCTTTGTAGATGTCTAGGCTGATATATTTGGATGTCATTGAAGAGCCTCTATGGTATTTGGGGATAAAAATAATTATCACAATGTTACTTGAAAAGAGGAGCACGAATGAGTAAACGAAAAAATAATTTCTTAAAGCACTTACTATGTGCTCAGCACTTACTGCCACATACCCAAGGAAATCACGGACACCAGTTCTACTTTTTGATCCCTCAGATTATTACCAAGTAACCTGGTGAACAACTTCGCTGAGAAGATGAACAGAGCAATCTTCGTGGTGTTACGTTTTGTTATGCAATCATATATGAACTTAACATACTGCTAGAAGACGCTTTGCTTAAGCAGAGAGCTCAAGGCTGAATTTTGCTGTAGCAAGTTAAATGGTTTTCTATAATCAACAAGCTGACCCATCAAGCTCCCCTTTTCTCTGTGACTTTCGGACAGTTGTGGGATTATGAAGAAGATCTAGTCTGCTGCAGGAAATCGTTGAGAGACCTGCCTCTCCTTATGCTCCTCAGGGCTGCCTTGGATGCTTGCAAAAACCTTTCTCATAAGGACTTTTATAGAAGGGGGAAGTAGGCATATGGTTCGGCAGGGGCTGATGTCTACCTGGTTACCTTTTTGGGTAAAAATCCCATCCATAGTTTTCCATTGTTTTGAAATTTTCCCTTCTTTGTGATACATTTAAAATCATTCCTGAGTGCCTTTGAAATTCTGTTTTTCTGGTGCAGGTTTCTTCTGCGAATCCCTGTCCTAGGTCCTCATACTGAATAAATGCCAGGGCTGCTTTGTCAGAGAAGCAGTACAACGGGTATTGAGGTGGTGAGGCTCGCTCGAATGGGGCCTTTCCAACTACTGTCGCTTACTAGAATCGATTACCATAGAGATGCTGGCCAATCAGTGCCACTTGATGCTTATTTTTTTCTTCAACCATTTTCAGCTACAGCTATTCTTTGGATGATCTAGTTTAATGGGATCTCACACCAAATGGTGAGGCTCATTTCCCCTTCAACTGACTTTTGCCCTTTTGGGAGGTGATGCTGCTTGTAATCTTCTATGCTTCTCCTCCATATTATTTTGTAGATGGTCTTTTACTCTAAACCAGTGTTGCTGTTGGCCACACTTTGTAGGATCAAATGTTTTCCGTCTGAGGTGCTTTGTGGTTTTTTAGACTTATTCATTGTGCTTACAGTTTTACTTCAGTTAAACTTCTTAAAGAAATGATGATAATCTAAGTCAATGTCTTTTTTCCATCTTTTTCTTTTTCTTTTTTGAGTTGACAGGTGATTTAAACAGCCTAGGTTGGAGCTGTTGTAGCATGCAATGTTTTATTTTTGTCTTACTATTTCTTCTAATTTGGTATTTTAAAATTTTTATTTGATTTTAAAGCTCATTATTACTTCAATAAATTTTAATTTTAGCAATTAACTTGATTGGTTTTGAATGTATTATTTTTGGCATCAATGATTACAAAAATAAGCTTTTTAAGATACATTTTTAAGTCCAACTCAAGTATACTTTACTTAAGCAGATCTTGTCTTCCAATTTTCAGTTTCTATATGTGTCATAATTTTATTTGAATAATCAAATGACACAGCTGAAAATTGCTATTCCAGTTCCGTTCATTTACCCATGCACTTCATTTATTCATGCACTTCATTCATTCATTCATCTGTAAGAGCTAGTATGGCTAAAAAGACTGATGCATATGAATTTATTTGTGCTCATACCATCTACCTCATTAGATTGTTAACTATCTGAGGGCAGGGAAAATACCTTTGATTTTTTTGGGGGGGTACTCTGCTATAGTAGGCAGTACATTCCTCTGCACATATATACGCAATCAATAATGAGGGCAATTAACTGAGAGACAGGGTGTTCCCAAAGCCTTAGTGCATGTATAAATTATTAAATGGCCATTAAAGTTTAAAACTGCACTAATATTTCTGGGACAACCAATATTTGCTTTGAAACTCAACAGACCTGAATTGGAAATTATCAGTATCATTTTAGATTTTTAGGAATAGGGGTGTCTCAAATATAATCACATGGCATAATCATATAATCTGGTTATATGCCAGATGTAGCAGATGACCTTCTTAACAAATTTTAAATTTAAATAAATAACTATATACCCACTTCTCTATGGTCTTGTAGGATAGAACATAAAATAAATCAGCCCAGGTTTTGAAATTTGACTTAAAGAGACAACTTTTTTCTTTCACTAGTGCTTTTCATAGTCATCCAGCAAACATTTATTAAACACTTGACTCTGTACCAGGCATTTTGCATACTTCAAAGGATCTCTGATCTCATTAATTTGGGAGTGCCCTCCACTGGCACAGACTGCAGCCCTCATTAATGAGATCACAGATCCACTGATACTATACTGCAGTCTATTTAAACCTCTGATTTTTCTCTCCATTTCCTTTTGGGTTACCTGCAATATTGATTCTTCAGAGAGCTTGAGGTTTCATGTTTCACAGCCAAAGAACTTCACTAGAAGAGTATTAGTATTAGAAAACAGGAATCAGGAAGCATCTTGGGATTGTTGAAATCACACTGAGATTTCCCAAAGGCCGTCTACCCCGCTATCTTTCTCCTGTTCAGTTCTGGGCCCAGCTCATCATCCATTTGCCATGAATACCTAAGAGACAAAAAAAGACATGTATGGATAGATTCAGATGAAGATAGATCTAATTCAGTTCAACTCAACTTTATTATATGTCTATCATGTGAAAGGCAGAATGTCATCAACCTTAAATCCCACCACTACCACTACTACTAATACTACCACTACTACTACCTAATAGTAATAGCACCTACTTTTCAGTGTTGCTGAGGGAAAAATGAGATAACATATATAAAATACTTTGCAAATCTTAAAGCACTATATAAATGCTAGCTGCTGTTATTGTTATTAGAGGATACATAAAAATGAAACATTTCTTGCCCTCAAGGAACTTAAAATCCACACACACAAAATAGTTAAAGATTAATTTTTTTTCCTATTGTATCAATTCTATAAATTAGCCTCTCTCTCCTTTTGATTTAACTCCAATAAAGGCTCCAATGCAAAATCTTTACATAAAAATATTGTGTAGTAAAATGTTCCAGAAACAGTTCACTGGAATTTGCCGCTGAATAATTTCTCCATGAATTTCCCCAAACTTCCAAGTTGACCCATTTCACATCTACACACTGCAATTGGTTGAAGTTCATCTCTGCAGACCAGGCTGCTGATCAATGTTTTAACTAAGCACAACAGAAATCTACAGGAAAACCTCACTGAAAAACTTGCTGTAGGCAAAGACAATTCAATAATTAGTCTCATAAACCTGTTTTGATATATGTACACTTTTTTTAATTGCTGGCCTTTCTTAATGGTCTGTGATAAAGTAAGTGTACAGATTTATGCTTTAGGAAGAAAAGGTCCGATAGAACAAATTTTGTTTAAATTCATAAAAGTGCTGTAGAGATTTGGGGTTTGAAAGATTAGGTAGTGAATAAGAGAAACAGATACAGATGAAATATGACTCTCTTTGCGTGGTGTGTTTCAGGGAATCATTAATTCACCTGAATACAACCATGAGTTATGCTCACAGTATTGTATTAGAATTCCTAGTAGAAAGGGGTTTAGATATACTTGTAAAGTTAAATATGGTTAGACGGTAAAATATTGATTGCTCACCATAAACAATACAGTGGGGTATCCAACACTTGTTTTCCATGTGGAACATAATAAGGTAATTAATTTATCTCTAGTTGGGGCTTATTTGTGTGTGTGTGTGTGTGTGTGTGTGTGTGTGTGTGTGTGTGTGTGTATACACACTGACTCATAAATGTATAGTTATAAATATATGTATAAATATACACTGACTCTCATATAAATGTATACTTATGAACACACATATAAATATACACTAACTCATATAAATGTATGCTTATAAATACAAATGTAAATATATAATAACTCATATAAATGTACACTTATAAACACATATACATATAAAGATATACACTGAGTCTTATAGAAACATATATTTATAAACACATGCATACACACACATATACATGCTGCCTCTCCTATAAATGCATACTTATAAACATGTATATAAATATACACTGATTCATATAAGTGCATGTTTATAAACACATATACATATATACTAACTCATAAATATATACTTGTAAATATTATGTGTGTATATATATTATATGTATATATATAATATATAATACACATAAAATGTACGTATGTTTTTAAGTATACATTTATAGGCGAGGCAGTGTGACATAGCGGATAGCAGACAGGCTTTGGAGTCAGAAACTCTGGGTTCAAGTCCAGCTTTTGACACATATTGGCTATGTATTTGACCCTGAAGAAGTGACAACTTCTCAGCACTCTGGAATCTGGTTCTGACCTGCTCAGTATGTGGTTGGGAATTGATTATTCATTTAGTCAGAACTAGGGATGCCTTAAAAAAGCAATAGTGGCCAGAAGCTCCCCATTACCTGTTCAGTTGCTCCCTCTCGGTTTGCTTCCTTTCTCCCAAGGCCAACTGCAAGCCTCACATGGAGGCTACATGTTGGCCTAAGTTGGACGTGCCTCGTTGCTTCTTCTCTTTCACCATTGTCTGTCATCAGACCTGTCAACAAACGAGTCAAACCAAGAGCAATCAGCTGAACAAAGGAAACCTGAGACTGTTGTCACTAGCGCTGTTTAAACCTACGCTCAGTTCTGGCTACATAGCTAATCTCTCAACCGATGGGTTGATGGGCCAGGACCAGTGGTAGAACGTGTAGGCACATTCCATTGTCTTTCCACGGCCTTCAATTACATACTATCTTGACTGTCCCGCAAGCAGGTTTTCCAGCCTCTTCCACATGAAGGATCTGAATTAGCTCCGGTCCCTGTTACATATTTATATGTGAAAGAGGGAGAGTTAGAAAAAAAAGGGAGGAAGGGGAATAAAAGGATGGGAGACACGGAGAGGAAAAGGAAGAGGGGTGAGAAGAAGGAAGGGGGAAAGAGGAAAATAGGAAGGAGGAATTTGGGAGGAGGGGAGAAAACTAAAGACAGCAGTAAACATGGAATTAGAGTTCTGCGCTTTGGGTCTGGAAGACCGGAGTTTGCATCTCACCTTTGATGTTTACTAACTCTTGGCGAGTTATTATTTAACTTTTATGTGATTCAAGAAACTTCCTAACATTTAGCTACTTAGTCCTATTGGGATTAAGCGTGAAAGAAATTCTTAGGCTGGGACTTCCTCCTCACCGAGCAAATCCTTTGAGTAGCCATGAAATTCAAAGGCACCTCCTCCTTGGAAAGAACCCTCTGGCAAAACTGAACAGTGCACCAAAAAGCAGAGACATCACCTAGACAGCAAAGGTCCATGTAACCAAAGCTATGGTTTTTCCAGTAGCAATGTGTGACTGTGAGAACTGGGCTTCCTTATAGAAAGCTGAGTGCTATAGAATCGATGCTTTCGAATTGTGATGCTGGAGAAGACCTCTGAGGAGGGTCCCTTGGACAACAAGGGGATCTAATTAGTCAATTCTTAAAGAAATTAATTCAGGCTATTCACTGGAAGGTCAAATACTGAAGCTGAAGCATAAATACTTTGGCCACATAAGAAGATGGGATTCCCTGGAAAAGACTCTGATGTTGGGAAAGATTAAAGACAAAAGGAAAAGGGGACAGCGGAGGATGAGATAGATAGAGAGTGTCATGAGAACAATGAATGTTAACTTGGACAGATTTTGGGAGATAGTTGAACATGGAAGGGGGTCATGAAGAGTTGGATATGACTGGGTAGCTGAACAACAAAATTCGTTTTTGTATGTAAATTTTTTATTACATACATAAAGATTTTAATCTTTTTTTTTTGTGTCACACCAACCTACCACCATGTTGAAATAGCACGTTCCTTTTGGGGGCTCGTGCTTAGAGAACCCTCCCCCTAAAATGGGGCCATTTTCTTTTTTAAAGCAAACCCTGACACAGACCAGTAAGATACAAAGATCAGTAGTAAAACAGTCCTTTAGCTATAAAAGCTAATGACTAATAGGAGAGTTCTGACCCTCTGGATTGCATTTACTGTTCACCAATGATTATGTCATTAGGAATGAATTAGATAGTCAATGAGGTGGATCTTCGAATCAAAGCTGCCACTTTGAAATTTTCAATAATCTGTTCACTTGTAGATCAGAGCAGTATTTAATGGCCATTACTGTTATATTGCTTGGGTTATACGGCCATGAAAAACAGGTCTCTCATGACAACATTTTTTCTTTGTGTGCATGTGTGTAGCTGTG